TGGAAGGATTTCCACTTGTATTTTGAGCTGTACAGAAAAGGAAAAATCGCAAAACCCTGATCTAAGTAAGACCAACTCTTATTGATTTTTTCCACTTTCCAGAGCCAAAGATAAAGTAATTAATTAAATTATGAATTGTTACTAATACTTTCAGTGGGAAACACTGAAGTATACAACTACTTATATTGAACGTAAAACTACCTACAATAGGTTAATTTTGGCTTTTTTCCCTCCAGCTTATGACAGATCTAAACTACCCCCACAATTTATTTTTAGCATTATGGTTTCAAATTATATCTATTTTCACATAGCTTAAGACTATTCCCAAGAAATTGCCTGCAATAGGGAAAAGCTGATATGTCTATTCGCCTACAAATACCCAAGGGACAGTATTTAATTACAGGACATATTATTCATATTTGAAGGTGAGTTGCTCTGGGGTTGCACTCACATAGGAGTGGGGCTGAGTGCACCTTCATGTTCATGCCTCCTCCAGCCTAATTACTCTTAGAGCCAGATTCTAGAATATCGGCTACTCTTGGTAGGGTCTGGTCCTGTTGGGGATTCTCTGTAACCTCTGCTCTCAGAATGGAGGATGCTTTAGATGTTTTAAAACAAAACAAAACAATAACACTACCAGAATTCTTATCACTGCCCGCCCAGCTGATCTGTCTGCTGCCCAGCTTCTCAGCTATGTCCCTCTGATGTATCTTTTGCTTGAAAGTTCCCTGTAGTTTAATGACAGCCGCTTTCATTTTCTTGGATTCACCTATGTACCTCGTGTGACTGAGTTACCATGACTATAGCTTAGGAGGACTTGCTGATCTCTTAGATCTCATTCTTTGTAACTTTCCCTCCAATTCTACATTAAGTAGGATCATAGGGACCAAACATTCGACCCATGGCAAGCAAGTATAAAATATCATATCCATTCTAGAGATTTCATCCTTCTCTTGATTGATGTAGCAATAATTTGGGACCAACTCAAAGCCATATATTGTAACTGAGTCTCACATAACGTGCTAGTTACCATCTCCATCTGGCTATTCGATAATTTTCTGTCAGCGGACCTCCAAGCTAGCTTTCCAACTCACTACCTTCTGTGGAGAGTTTTGTGTTGAAAATCCCCTACTGAGTGTGGTTATGACTTAGGTCTCCTTCAAGGGGATTGCTCTTCTGGCTCACTGTACAAAGCAGCCCTCCACAGTATGTTTGCTTTGTTGAGAGTCTTCATCCACAGGAACAGTTCCTACGCAACTACCTCAATGATTTTTAAATAACGTTTGCAACTTGTTGACTTGGGGAATTTTCCAGAGGACAAAAAGCACGTTCTAATGCTTCCTCCTAGGTTCTAAATCCGAAAACTTTGTCTATCAAACTTCAGTGAATTCAGATGACTTGCTATGGAAGTTTATTTTCTTACTTTGGAGAAGGGTAAAGTGATCCTTGTTTTGCTTTGCTTTATATTATATAAGAATACATGTAGGCAACTCTCCTGGAGAACTTTTGTGTTCTTTCTAATTTTGTCTAAGTCTGTGATACTTATTGCCCATTTGATGCCATTTGTCCTACGTCTGACCTTTTTGCTTTAGCTTCCTTTACTAAGCCTTGTGTGCTACCATCCAATTCATAAATACACACCCTACTCGGTAGTCCTACAATATACCAAGATGAAAGTTGACCTTTATCCGGCTCTCGTTATGCGTCGAGTATCATTGTAATTATAAGCATTAACTCACTTAATCTTCACAACACCCCTATGATTTAGGTATTAGTGTTATTCCCATTTTATAGAAAAAGAAATTAAGCCTCAGGGAGATTAAGTAACTTTAATAGCTACGAAATGAGGAAGCTAAGATTCCAATTAAGACTCATCTGATTCCAAAGCTTTCCTCTCTAACTCCAAGCAGACCCTTTCTGGCTGGAAATCTACAGTTCTTCAGTCAAAAGAGTGTGTGTTCTAAAATACAACTTGGAGATCCAGAAATTAAAGATAAATAGCTGATCCAGTCCCATTTTTTTTTACATTTTTTATGTCTGTTTCTCTAGATAGCCCTTGGGTTTGTTAATTCATTTTTTTCCCCTGATATAAGAAATACTATTTCTGTTTAAGTGCTGCTGGATTTGGAAATCATTCTCATGACTAAATATTTGTTTGCCTAGTAAGAGCCCAGTGTAGGGCTGTGCTGCCAATGGGTGCTCAATAAAGATTAATGGATGACCGTGCACGTCTGTGTGGGAGTCGTGTGCTTCAGATCCGCTCAGTTCTCCGAAAGACACAGAAATGATGTGGGGAAGGTGGAAATCACAGGATCATCCCCTAACCTAGATCATTGGTTTCTGTATTTGACATTTAAGGGTCCCAAAGGCCCAGATGCTGAAAGAATGGGAATATGGAGTCTAGTGTTTTCCTCAGAAATGATTGGGAAGTGCTGTGAAAATTAGATTCCAAGGCCTACTTCCCAAATTAATATCAAATATGAGAGAAAACTCGGTTCTCAGATGAGGACTGCAGAGAATCAAATATTTTTTTAATTGACACATTTTCTATTATTATATACATATAAAGATGATGAGTAATATGCCATATCAGATGGTTTATTCAAACTGTCAGAATAAGGGCTGAAGCGTGAGTAACTTTCCAGTGAACCTTGTGAGAAATGCAAGCAGTGTAAAGTGGCAGTAACCAGCCATGAGTTCATCAACGACCCAGTCATCCCTGAAAATCTTGGGTGAACAAAAAAAGTTTCCCCCAACGTCTATGGTGGGACATTTCTAGAGGAAAGGAAGGAGACCAGTAATTGAAACTTACTTCACTAAAAAACCAAACGTCCAGGCACTGCCTGGGTTTGCACACTCAGTAGAGTAGATCAGCCATGTGGCCCGGGGGGTGATGCCTTCATTACGAATGATGACTACTGAGCTCCTTTCCAAATCTCAGCAGAACTCTAAGATGTTAGAGCCCTCACTTGCAAAAGCAAACTTTGCTTTGGCATCAGAGAAAATGGAAAGACGAAAGCCTCAATTACTGGGACCAGTACTGTAGGTCTTGGGCTGGGCTGGGATGTGTTGATATTGTGGTACAGAGGAGAGTGTACCAGCAAGCTCATTGGATGGCCCTGATTCCATGCCCAGTTCTGTGTCTCAGTCTCATCGTCTGCAAAGTGAGCGGGTAGAGACTAGCTCTAGGGTCCACTCCAACTCTGCTATTTCATGTTATCCATTATGAGTTCCTCTCTGAGATGAGCATTCTTCGATGGAAAACTCCATGTGTCTTGAGGTTTCCAGTGAGAATTTATTTATACAATTCTACCTTTTAAAAACTCTCCTTTTATCCCTCACTGAACTTTCTTCAGCAATAAAGAGGTCTCATGAATTTTGATAATTTGGCGCATCAGTAAAGAGTGTATTTCATTAATACATTAACCTCCATTGCCATCACACTTTACCATTTTGTCCCCCAAAAGAAAGGCTACTTTTGGGAAGCAACCCATAAGGTGTGATAGGTGTTATGGCCAGGAAAGAACTTACTATGTGTTTGCTGCTTAAACATATGGAAATAATGTAGCTCATGTGAACAAAATATTCTGAACTCTCTCTATATAATTATGCCCAAGTTATAGACACACATTTATAAAACCACAACCCTAAAATAAAAGTTAAAGGTTTGAGAAGTGGGAAGGACTATTTTCCAGTAGCAGGCACAGTGGCTTTCTCAGCAGCCAGGCGGAGAGAGAATGTAGAGACCGGGGGCCAGGCTGAGCCCCACAGCCCAGCCCTCAGTGTTGATTCTCCCAGGAAAGACCTGAAGGAACTGCTGACATTTCTCTTAAAAGAATCAATGAATCTTTGTTGCCTTCTGCTTGTTCATTTGACCTTATTTTGTTTTGAAACAGAGAAGGAAAGAAAGAATGAAACTAGTGGGGTGGGGTGTGGGGTAGGCAGAAGGAACAGAGAAGATGTCCGTGCTGTGGAGCCCACAGACAAGATCACAGGCCACTGATCGTTTCGGGGATGTTATTGTTTGCTTGCTGTAGTGTTATTTGTTCCTGCTTCCCATTTGAGATTCTCGCCCTGATGTAATAAGTCACCATCTTCCCAGCCATCATCCCTGTATTGACAAGCAAATGTCACCCACGTTTGATTGACATCCTTTACTCCTGAATGCAAAAGTATGATTTACGAATCTATTCTACTTGTTCATTTAAAGCTGTTCTTGTGTGTCTTATATATTTGTTGGTGGGATAACTTGCCTAATATCTACACTGGGGCGCTTTCCGTTAATATTATGAATCCAGGCTTTTCCTTCTCCTGCTCTTTCACTGCAAATGGGGCCCTTTCTCATATTTTTCCTATTTTCCCCATCCCCTATCCTACACGCAGGAAATGTGCTATAGAGCTTATGTCTTTCCCTATCTTAGGAAAAGGTCTTGCCCCCCAGTACTTTTGTAAACACTGCTTGCTTTATCTTAAGACTTTTGAAGGCATTTTGACAAGTGATTATTTCTCATGCATGTAGCGCCTTTAAGTAATGCAACTTCAAATCCAATGCCAGTATCTCCTGGGCTGCTAGAATTGTAAGCCTGTGAGTAGAGTACATGCGTATATGTTCACCATTTGCAGCATTTGTAAAAAGAACCCCCCCCCCTTTATGTGGGCATGTTCATTTAAAGTCATTGAGAAATGTCCTTTGGCTTTTCAACACACCTTACTGTTCTCTGGTAACATCTTATTTCATTTTAGAAGGCTGGTAAGGAAAACTGAAGGTTAAAAAAAAATCACATCTACTGTCTGGAATATTCTAAAGGGCCGTGCTTCTGCTAAAAGTGGCATTTTGAAAAGCACCTTGAAGCACTGATTGTGGGTGAGCCAGTAGAGAAATATTGTCAACCAAGCCACCCGCCTTTCAACCTTCACCTCCACCCTTCAACTGGGGCTGCTGGCTGTGGGGGAATAAGGGACTTAGGTGTGACCCGTGAGTTCTGAAGGCTACTGCACATCTGTCTCCCTCCCCCCAGGCATGTCCAGCGAGAGCGCTGCCATCGCCTGGGTTCAGCAAGGGAGTATTCAGGATCTCACTGTTCATCCATGTGCAGAGAGGGGAAAAAAAAGAGAGGCCGAAAAAAAAAAAATCCCACATTGTCAGAGTAATGCCAAACTCGCTCTGAGTGGGATGAGCAGAGCAGATGCTGCTATGAGATGCCAAAGCGGCTCCCCTTCCTCTGTGCCTTGGGTGCCTATAAATTGCTCCGGCGCGCGTTTGTCAGCCTCCTCTTCTCCTGGCAGGTGGTACCCAGGCAGAATTCTGCGTTCAGTCTCTCTCGCGCTCCGCTCCCGGCCGTGAGGCGCTCGCCGCTGCTCGCTAGCTCCTCCGCTCCAGCCCGGAGCCTCGCCGAGCCGACCGTGCCCGCCGCCGCCGCTCCGCGCGCCCGGGGGGCGCCTGGCCCCAGCTCGCGCGGCCCGCGCGGGTCTCCGGGGGTGCGCCTCGGTTAGAGTTGCGGTGGTTGCAAAGGAGGAAACAACCAAACAAACGAGGCAGGGGAAGGGCGAACAGAGCGAGCGAAAGAAGAGAAGGAGGAGGCAGAAAAAGGCAACTTCAGACGGAAAGTTGGTGCGAACTGGCGCAGTCTGCAAAAACGGAAAAGTCAATGCAGGCAGCGGCGGCATAAAAGTGTGAGCGCCCGGCGAGCGCGAGAGGCGGCGGCTGGCTCTGCCCTCCGGGTGGCCGCGCCGGCGGCAGCCACAGGTGCGAAGGGGCTCGCAGGAGGCGAGAGGGCGCCCTGCGCACCCCTCCCCCCGCCCCCACCCCAGCTCCGGACTTCGGCTCAAGTCACTTGGCGTCCGAACTCCCTCCCCAGCCGCAGCCTCAGCGGGGGGAGCAGGAGCAGGCGAGGAGCGGCCGGCGCGCCCGCCCAGGGGAGTTGGGGTTCGCAGGGGGTTGTTTTCGGCTCTGAGGAGGTCCCCGCCCAACCTTCAAAATTTTGTCCAAAAGCAGACAAGAGGATCGCCCCGCGCTGAGCCGGCTGGTGGGCAGCAGGAGGCGCCTGATCGCCGCCGGGGCGCTGGGGGTGGTGATGGTGCTGCTGCTGGTCATCCTCATCCCGGTGCTGGTGAGCTCGGCCGGCACGTCGGCGCACTACGAGATGCTGGGCACCTGCCGCATGGTCTGCGACCCCTACGGGGGCACCAAGGCGCCCAGCACGGCCGCCACGCCGGACCGCGGCCTCATGCAGTCCCTGCCCACCTTCATCCAGGGCCCCAAAGGCGAGGCCGGCAGGCCCGGGAAGGCGGGCCCGCGTGGGCCTCCCGGTGAGCCCGGGCCGCCGGGCCCCGTGGGCCCCCCGGGCGAGAAGGGCGAGCCCGGCCGCCAAGGCCTGCCGGGCCCGCCCGGGGCGCCCGGCCTGAACGCGGCTGGGGCCATCAGCGCCGCCACCTACAGCACGGTGCCCAAGATCGCCTTCTACGCCGGCCTCAAGCGGCAGCACGAAGGCTACGAGGTGCTCAAGTTCGACGACGTGGTCACCAACCTCGGTAACCACTACGATCCCACCACGGGCAAGTTCACCTGCTCCATCCCGGGCATCTACTTCTTCACCTACCACGTCCTGATGCGCGGAGGGGACGGCACCAGCATGTGGGCTGATCTCTGCAAAAACAACCAGGTGAGTGCGGGCGGCGGCGGGGAGGGCGGGGAGGGAGCGCGGGAAGGTGCGGGCGAGAGGGAGGAGACCCCGGAAATGGGGGTGGGAGCCCGCGGAGGAAGGGCGCGGCAGCCCGGCTCCCGGGAGCGGCGCGAGGGGGGACGCTGTTCCACCTTGGAGAGGCGGGGGTCGTACGCCAAAGAGGGCGCCCGCCGGCCTGGAGAGGGCGGTCCCCGAGTCTAGGACCTGCACTCGGGGCCCGCGAGAGTGAGCGCGACCCTCAAGGGGCGGGAAACCCGAGCTCGGGCCCCTGGACAGCTTGTGCGCGGGGAGTCCCGGAGCAGGAAGCGCCCCCGGCTGTGGGGTCCTCAGCAGCGTAGGATAGCTCTCAGGCTTTGCCGGGAATGGGAGGGCTGGGGGGTGGGGTGGGGGGCGTCCCGAATGGGCGTGCCACGGTGACAAACCCGGGGAAGAAAGACAGGGGCCCGAGGGAGAAAGAAGGAGCCCGGAGGATCGGGTCCAAGCGGGGCGCGTCCAGGGCCGAAGCGGGACCGTGGGACCGGCGGTCGCAAGCCCCTGCGGCGTCCCAGACGGGGAAACTCACATATCGTCAAATTCAAGACGCAAACTCCAGTTTAGTTTTGGCCGCAGGAGAAGGGGGAGAGGTAGTGAGTGCTGATAACAAAAAGAATAGTTGCGAGTCCTGGGTTTATGCCCTAAAACAGCCCCAAACACAGAACCCCAACTCGCCTGGCTGGAGTAGGAGGGCGCACAGGCAGGCGGCCGAGCCCAGCCCCGGGGCTCTGGGCCTCATTGCCAGGGTGACGGGCTTTCCAAGCCCTGCCTTGTAGCTCACGGCGGTGGCCTCGGCCTTGACTGTGCAATAGCCTCAGATGAGCCCTCGGCCACGGCCACGGCCACGAGGACTTGCTCTCCTGAGCTGGTCGGCGCTGCCAAAACGGCCACGGCTCTGCAGTTTTATGCTGGGGCCACTTTACCGTTTGCTTGAGAAATTCGCGGTCACTGCAAAACCGAAGTGCGTCTAATCCACAAGAGGAAAATAATATTTGTAACTACCTAAAAGTGTAATCAGATCCACTGCACGCGCTGAATCAGCAGCCCCCTTGGGGCGAGGCCTTGCAGCCTGCAGCCTGGGCTGAGTTTTTGGCTTTACCTCTGCTCATTGGGTGACACAAGGAATGGCCCGCGCCCCTGCCGTGGCCAACTTTGACTTTACAAGGGCTATCCGGCTTCATATCTCTCGCCCCTGGAATTCAGACCTTTTAAGCTATAACCCAGGTTTCTATAAGCACCGTTAAAGCAGAATTTCTAATTCTGACACCTAATTCAATGTCAGAATTCTTTCAAAAGTGTAAGACAAATATCCTACATGTTTAAGAGAGAGAAAGGGCAAAAGATTCTGTCCCTCCCCCTTCCTGCGTCCCCACTGTTCTAAAGGAATTTAGAAGTCAATGGCTTAAGGGACATTCTGTTCTATCTCAGGACAGGTAGAACAAAAAGAGGAGAAATGGCCACCAGGAGGCACTGACAGGGTTGTTTATTATAGTTATTATGCACGAAAATAATATTAAGATAAATAAAAATTATTCACAAAGCAGTGGGATAGTTGTAGGTAAATGGCTAACAAGAGGAGGACTCACTGTGCACCCTAAAGCAATTGTGTCACCCTTACAGAATGGTCTAGGAACAACCCCTCAGTAGGCAGCAATGAGGCACCCATTTATTTACAAATTGGTTCTCTTCTGACTCAAAGGTTAGGTCTGGAAAATACTATCAAGCTGCAGAGCTTGTGTGTAGAGGTATTAGTTAAACTGGAATAAGATTCAAGTTTTATCAGCCAATGTATAAAAACGCTCACATCTTTAAATATCTGAAAATTTCAGTTGCATGAAAAACCAGGGAACCAGTTAAATTAATTTAAATGTTGATATCTAGACTGCTGAGCCCAGGTATGTTGCACCGATTCCAAGAAAACCATTCCATATATGTGTTCTATGGGCATTTTGTTTTTAAAATTAGTTTATTTTGGAGTGTAAGAAGCTCCTTGGTATAATCCTAGCATGTGGATTCTATGAGGATCAGGAAAAAAAATAAGGCAAAATAGCTGACCTTGTATGTGTAATGCTTTCCATTGGCATGATTAAGCTGCTACTTTTGCAAAGGGTGTGCAACAAGTAATTCAGAAAAATAAATATAGTAGCAAACAATATATTTTCGAGTTCACCATGGACTATTTTCGAAAATGGTTGTTACAGTATTACTGTTAAGGAATTTAATCTCTAGAATAGAACTAGTTTGTCAAGTCTGATCTGCAGGAAGTTGCAAATGAAAAATCTTATAAAATCTGTTTTTCATTAATATTAAATAAATACTTTATCCTTGATTCTCAATTATGCTCTCCTCCGATCACTTTTTTGAATGGCGGTTTCCACTCTGAGCTGACCTAATTTGTTTTCATAAAACAGAAGCTCAGAGATCCATGTCAGCGTAATGTTCTGTGGATTAAGTGGATTTGAGAAGCACAAAAATTAAACTAAAAATGCAGTTCACTCTAGGATAGAGGGATGCCTCTGAACTGTAACCATATGAGAACCATTTTATTTATGCTTTGTGTTGAATGCAGGATCACAGATGGAAACATCAAAGACCAGTAAATTAACCTGATGTGCCACTTAACCTTTTGTTTATGATTCCACAGAAGTACAATGAAAATGAAATTATGAGAACATCAGTAGCAATTAATTAAATTAGCAAATGTTACCATAAATATTGTCTCTAATGATAAGCCTTCACTAATAAGATAATGCTAAAACTATACAACCTATTACGTAGTCACAAACATACCAGTAAAAGGACCACGGTTTTCATATTCCCCATGAAACCATCAACCTAAATTTAATCTCACCATTTGTTGAGAGCCCATGACAGTGCATATTAAAGGTAAAAGTTGGACTCAAATAGCTTTACATAGAGACAGGAAATATTTTTAATATGTTTGCCTACTTTTAGCAGAAAACCTGAAGAAAAAATATTGCTATTTGAATACAATCACTATAATAATCCACTGTAATAAAAACTAAAACTGGCTCAAGATTAGAACTATAAAACAATTAAAGACCAATTTTTACTCTAAGAATTTATTAGTTATGGCACCAGTGAACATGAGATATATTGGAAACAATGAATAGTTTGTGGGTTGATATTCATTTATTAGCGAGATTAATGAAATGTCAAATTAATTATCTTTTTAGGGGCTGTGAAACATGCACTAAAGATCAAGCAGAATCTAAATAGTTAACTTATAATATGAAAAGATTTTAGAGCACATTTAGGTAGAAATGGGTATATCAGGCTAAAGAAAGGATGCATCATATTCCCAGAGAAAATGCTGAAATCAGTGTACATTTAGACACCTGAAAATAGCCTCCAGGGTGGATGCATTACCTTCCTCAATAGTTTGATGGCTTAGAGGAAGAATTGCTGGAAGTCGCTGAGCTGGATACTAGAACATGAAATTTGAAGTCCCATTATACCTCTAGAGTATACTCAGGTGAGCAGACATACTAAAGTCATGCATATCACACTGGAGTATGGCAGTGCTTTAATTGAGAAAGTCTTATGGTACAGTATAGGTTCAAATCTTAGAGAATCACTTTCATTACAAAGCAGTCACACTGGCTTTATCCAACAAAGGAGGTGAAAACTGAAAGGGTAACCTCCCAGTCTATGGGATCACACTAATGCATTTGCAGATTTTTGTGGTTACACCTACTGAATAAAAATGGAAACATTTACATGGGTTTGTGATTATACCCTATAGAATAAAAACTGCAGTGTGTATATATTTAAGATTATTGTCTCTAAAACAAGTGATTTTGATGAGTCCTGGTTCCCAAATGCATTCATATAGAAAACAATTTTAAAGCACAATATCTGTAGAACATATACTAAATACCTAAAGCACTAAATAAAATGTGTGTCTGGTTATTAATAATAGCTGAGAAGTATATTATGGATTGATAATTAATTAATATATTACAAATATGGCTAACTACTAGTTTGTATTTTAATTTTTCTCACCCATTAAAAATCCACACATTAAAAAAATCAGGTCATAATAGCACTATCCTCCTTGTAGATTTCTTTTTCCTGGGAATTAATGACTAGGTGAAATTAATGAATCAAAGCCTTCGACTCCTACAAACTTATGATTAATTCCTAGGAAATATTATGACATTAAATTATATTATTACTTAATGATCAAAACAGATCACCTCACTAAATTGGTGTATACATTTGAGTCAGTGCTTCTAACCATAATTGCATGGTATATGGCTTTCATTATATTAGTGTCAGCAGTGTTAAGCAACTGTAAATCCTTTAAGCTCTTTTCTCCTTTTGCTATACGATATCCAGAAAGAAATTTTAAAAATACTACTCAAATTACTTTACAAGTTCAGCAGTGTCAAAGAGCCTTCTCCTTTTTTAACATTTCAGCACTAATGTGAGAACATACCACATGAAAATTTAATTTGAAAGCCTATCATTTCAGTTTTGAAAGAAATGCATGGAAATTCTTGACTTATGTCTCATTTCTCTCATTTTGCCAAGTGATAAAATCCAGCATATTGTACCCCAAGTCATGCATTATTACACAGTGTAGATTTACAAAACCACTAAATCACTGGCTATGTTATTCAGGGAAATATCATTAGAGTGGAATGAAACAAGCCACAAAGTAGAAGATGTTTTACTGAAATAAATCAAATACAAGTCTGCCTACTGAAAAATTTTTTTCCAAGCCAGAATCAAAATATAGCTAAATGAATATGAAGCCTAATTTGAGTTGAGGATGTGACAGAATGTCCATATTACTTGATGTGATAGGCAATTTGACTGTTTGCAAGTGTCTATCAGCTCACTAATGAGATTACAGGCTCCACATGAGTGGATTATAAGTAACCTCTGTCCTCAAAGGAAACCACACATTTAGAATCACCTAGATATAAAGGGGTATTCAATGAGATCATTTGAAAATTCTAGAAATTTTAAGAGACCTCAAATCATGGAAATTTAGTTCCTCTTGTAACTTTTAGATATGTTGAAATTAAATAATTGATTTCAGTGCACACATCACAATTAAGTGATAAAAAGGCATAAATAGAAAAAAAGAACTTTGAAAACCTGAGTGATATAACAAGATGCTTAAATGAGTTAAGCTTCTGGTAAAAGGGGCTTTACTTGAATTAGATTTTGAAAGCCCCAAATCAAAAAGCTTTCTTCCTTTTTTTCTTCCTATATAGTAGAGTTAGAGTGGTGGTATTTCTCTGAGTCTTCACCTACTGTGGGTCTCAATTTTCTAATAAACATGAGAACTAACTGAAGTTTGGATTGAACTTCTATACTCATAAACAGCTAGTTAGAATATTACTATTTGGTTTAACTTAAAATGCAAAAAAATACCATTATTTCCATTTCAGGAAGTGATTCGGCATAGAGAGTCAAGGAATTAGAAAAAGTAGTGATTTAGGAAGAGAATAGATTCGTATGCATTGTTTACAACATATAATAAGAAAAGAGCACTATTTTTTCTCCTTTCCATTCCTCCTTTACAAAGACTTAGTTGAAACTGTTACAAAGACATCCTCGTAAAGCTCCGAGGCCAAGGTGGACTTTCTCACGCTAAATTCTGTGCCATGGCAGCAAGTGTGCTTGTGATGCTGAGTGAACAGCAAAAAAGAAAACTTGAGAATGCTCTTCGACAAATTCTAATTCTTGTCTGTTTCACGTAGGTGCGGGCTAGTGCTATTGCCCAAGATGCTGATCAGAATTACGACTACGCCAGTAACAGTGTGGTTCTCCATTTGGAGCCAGGAGATGAAGTCTACATCAAATTAGATGGCGGGAAAGCCCATGGAGGAAACAACAATAAATACAGCACATTTTCTGGATTTATCATTTATGCTGACTGATAACACAGAAACTAAGCTTCTTAGTCTGAGTTTGGACACTGGATTCGTATGGCTAACGTCAGTGAATCAAGGATCCCAGGGGATGCCAGTTGCGGGGCACCTCAGTTGTGTATATGTGGGGAATTCAAATGCTACCTGACTCACATCTGTATACTCAGAAACATGATGTAAAAAAATATTAAAGGCAAGATAAGCAGATGTGTGATTCTCTACCGCCAAAGCAAATACTCCTTATTGTTAGTGTCCGTGTGAATGAAGTCCTCTATAGATCACAAATTTTTATAGAAAAATCTAAGACACTGAATTATTTCTTCAATATATATGATCCTTTGGTGTACTGTGATCTTGCTGCTTTTATCCATGTCAGCTTTGGTTCTTGTGAGTTTATCTGCTTATTATGATACCTGGAGTCCATTCCTAGGGTGGGGAAGAATGATTTTACCCTGCAGGAGAATGTCTGATTGAAATAATGCTGCTTGTCCCCAAAGAAATCGTTTGCCTTGTACTCTTGTTAACTTTAGAGCTAGACCTGGGAATGATTCAACTTCAAGCCTTAACCTGGAATTTTCTGGATTTGAGGGAATTCCCAAGCATATGATCACTTTCACATTTTCTTTTTCATATGAATTTTCTTTTCTCTTTTTTCTGGTGATAGTCTTTAAAAATAGAGGTTGAAATTGTATCATAGGATTACCCTCTCAGTGTGAAAATGTGTAATTATGTATGGTATTTAGAAAATCCCCTATGTGTCCATTTTGTCAGTGGAATGCGTTTAGATTTACTCAGAAAGTCAGAGAAATTTATTCTTTGGTCTTAAATCAGACTGAGGCTTTTGCCTTCTTTGGAACAAAAGATTATTCATAACCCAATGCACAAAGGTTTAATTTGAGCTAATGCATGCGTCACCAAGGGGACACTAAGTAAGGCCTTCAAACAGTTACTACAAGTTGTGGCCTGAGGTTATTTCAAGATGAACAATTTCACATATAAACAATATGACAACAAAGTGTATATATTTTATACAAATACCTGCTACATATATATGTGTGTATATATATATGTTAGATGAAATATAATATATAAATGGCTTCAGACCATAGGCACAGTGGCTGTATAGCTTCAAAAATTTAATTAAAAAAAAACATGCATAAATTATTTGACATTTTGGATTGAAATATATTTTGGATGACAAAAATATATGGAATAGCAAAATAATTTAAATGACTTCTAAGAGTTACCCAGAAAATTAAATTTCAGGAGGTTACAATGCCCTATACATCACATGTCTGTAGATTAAGCCTATGGCTTCTTGATTACCATATGCCAATCAATACTTTCACTGCATTCTGTGGCAGACTGTTACTATTAGGACTGCAGAAACAAAGTGGCTCTCCTTTGCCATGTTTATGAATTATATGCATTTGAATTATCAGTTTTTTTCTCTTTTCTCAGGTGGATTGTGGCTGACAGTAAAGTAGATTTTGCGAGTAGTGCAAATCCTTTCTCTCTGGTTAAAATACACTGCCAAAAGCCATCTCTTTAATCTAAAACAAAGATTAAAAATGCACGTTGATATATCCTATCAGACAACTTCCACTATTACAATGAAAAATCTGTTCCCCTCTTAGTTGTCTTTGAAGACTTTTTGACAAGTAGATTTCAAAAACAGAGATTTAAAAATCTGCTTGTTTTTTAGGACGAAGGACATTTGCATTTTTTCATTTAAAGGAATTAGTTTGTTCTCCTGGCTCGTTCCTCTTGGGTACTTTCTGTTCTAATACACAGAAAGCTTGATCATCTTTGATCCACAGAAATATCTTTTATTTAGCAAACCTCAACTTTCCAAACGAGTTATGCATGGTGTTCCCATCTGAAGGTGCTTGGTTTAAATGCCTTGGTCTGAGCAACTGTCATGATTTATATGATTAAAAACACTTAGCCCATTCCTCAAGAATAATGACTCATTCTATTTGGGATTTCTAATATGTAAGATAAGGAGTTGTAATGGATTTTATTTCCATTTAACAATATATATTTATCAAAGAGGAATTGGCAGAAAGGATTTGGAGAATTTTTTTTAGATAACAAATACCATAGTAAAGATTCAACCAAAAGATTAATTTATAAACAGCATTGCACATCAGCTAAGAGTTTTAACTAAGAGTTTTTAAAAAGGTGTTATTTACACAAAACTTCAGGGCTGGGTATCTTTTAAAGAGTAGGCTCCAGAATCAGACTGTCATTTCTAATAGATCTGACCTTTCCTTCACATAAATAAGCATTATCTTTTCTGTTGAGGCCCAAGGAAAAAAAATAAAAGGTAAAGGAAATAAAGGGACTATATATAAGGCAAACATTTCTTTTTATTTGCATTATATATTATTAATGAATTAAATTGTGGCCTTTGTTATTATAAATGTAATGATTCATTAAACTATATTATGTAATATATTTTGACTTCTACGATTGAATTTTTATAATTCAGTACCATGTTATATGTTCATGCCCCTTATGCAAATTTTCCAAAACACAACAAAATTAACAGCAAAAATGGACACCAGAAATCCACAGGCAACAATACTGATTTATTATAAGTATATACAGATAGGTGGACAGCAGATAATTAACCCTCCACACTATTTTTTACCATTGTGAATTGGCAATTGTATTATAGTAGCCTTTGGTAAAAAAAAGTCTCAAAATTTAACTTCCCTTGCTGCAGAAGCTATTTTAAAGTGCCATATTATTCATTAAGCATTAATTAAAGAACAGCAGGATAATTAGTAGGATCATCAATATTACAAGAAACATTAGATTGCTCCAGAAGGGGGTAATTTAACTAGAAACACCTTAAATTTTCTCAAGTAGTACAGCTGATAGATTAAGAAAACAAAACAAAACAAATTAGGGGATATAGACTGTAGATCATTGTTTGGAAATAGGTACTTCTGTAGTTATATTGTTAAGGCAAAACAGTAGGGCTCAATTAGGCTCAGTAAATCCCTAAAGGTGCAGATGTAATAGTCGGCCAGTTTCTGAGAAGACAAAACTCTTCTAAATCTCATAAAAAGGAAATGATTTTTCATTAGTCCTACGTAGCTCTGATTAATATCTCACAGTGGGTTTGAAATCACTGAATGTTCTCTGCAAGCTCTATACTCAACGTGTGAATTCATAAACAACCATCCTATTTGAAAGTTAGCCATTGCTTAGGGTTCTCTATTAGTATCTTATCAAGTACGTTCTCAGTTATACCTCTAAGCAACATTTTCGGAACAATGTTGGTAAGTATATGAGAATAGCCATGACCTCCATATTTCACGAGCCGATGCTTCGTGTGTATGTCATGTGCCATCAGAATTCGATCTTCATAGCCTTCATCCACCAGAAGACGCACCCTGTGAAAAATGTTAACTCATTATATGGCATTTGTCTCACATTTAACATTTTCAGGTGCTTTAAACTTTTTACTCATAAACCTATTGTGCTTGTCGTAAAGATATCGCCTTCCACTGTGGCATGTGTACTGGGAGACCCTTAATAAATGTTGCGTGGTGATGATAAAGATTTTGCTGCACCCTAGTAGGAACATGATCTTTATTCCATGCACTCAGAGGTTTCTAGCCTGTGATACTTATGACAACGCCTGGCAATACTGCATTAAAGATAGCCTTCAGCAGGATATGCCAGTTTGAATGAATGGCCAATTCAGCATTTCACTAAATAACTTTGTTTTGGATTTGCACCCAGCTCTCAACTCGGAGATACCTCTCTTAGTGGGCCCATTTTTCAGATCTCATTCTCTCTCCTTTTTTCTAGCAAATAAAATCAATGACTATTTGTGGTTTAAACAGGGAAACAGAAGGAATCTTCATACAAGTAAAACATTCTGAGACTAAAATCAGTGAGTTTGAAAGAGAAGGGCAAATGATAAGCTAGATAGTCTTTTTTTTTTTTTTGCTGAGGAAGATTCGCCATGAGCGAACGTCTGTTGACACTCTTCCTCCTTTTGCCTGAGGAAGAGCTGCCCTGAGCTAACATCCGTGCCAGTCTTCCTCTATTTTGTATGTGGGTCGCTGCTATAGCATGGCTGCTGACAAGTGGTGTAGGTCTGCGCCTGAGAACCAAAGCTGGGCTGCTGAAGTGGAGTGTGCCGAACTTAACCACTAGGCCACGGGGCCGGCCCCTAGATAAAAGGTCAGCAGTGGTCCCTGTGTATTTTGAGCATTTGTCCCTTTGAAGTCTATGAGAATTTTGACTTAGTAGTCTTAGAGCATTGGATTAAATTGACCAAATAAAAATTTACTCTGTCTTCTTCCCATTTCAACAAGATTGCTATAAATAATGAGCTGTTCCTTTAAATTTATAGTCAGTTGACTAAAGAACACCTTCCTGGCTACTGTCTAAGCATCTAATCCTCTCTGCTTCGTTAAATGCTATAATCTGTGGTGTGAGTCACCTCCTGACAGCCACCATCTGTATGTGTCTGGACTCTGGACAGTGTCTGTCGTGACTTCCATGGGTCTCTGAAGGCAGGAGATGCAACTTGGAGACAATGGCTCTTCTCTGGCATTTTCTATATAGTCTTGTCAGTCTTCAGATTCCCAAATGGGTCTAGATGCATCGACGGATAGCACCTTCCTCCAAGGGCTAATTATTTGAATGGTATCCTTTTCATTTTGACAGCATTTCTTGGCATTCCGGTGCATGAGTCATATTTAATAATTAGTCCAGTAAGCAAAATGTGGGGTACTGCACAAAAAAACTCAAGCACAAAGCCCTGCCCTCTGAGAATATACATTTTAAAATAAATTATAATCGAAGGCTAGATCTTGTGTTTACAGGTCAAAGGAAGGCAAATGCCACAGAAGAAAAGCCAACCTGGGCATTTTGTCTAGAAATCTGCATTCACGTCACATGTACCCCATGTGTGTCCTCTAAGAAGATGGAATGCTATTTGTGTCACCATGGTTATCTGCCTCTTTACAATTTGTATAACATCTTGGGGGGCCGGCCCGTGGCCTAGTGGTTAAGTTCGGCACATTCCGCTTCAGGTTTGGTTCCTGGGCGCAGACCTACACCGCTCATTGGCGGCCATGCTGTGGCAGCGACTCACGTACAAAATAAAAGAAGACTGGCACAGATGTTAGCTCAGGGCGAATCTTCCTCAGCAAAAAAAAAAAAAAAAAAAAAAAAAA